GGAAAAAGTACCGTACACAACTAAATAAAAGATAGAGCGCAAGGGAGTCAACCACTTCTCCTCCCTTCGTACCCTCAAGAAGGAAGCCGTCCATCAACAGGAGGAGTTAGCTGACACTAGAAGACATAGTTTGTCCCTTCGTGGCCCGGCTCGAAAGAAAGGCTCAAGACCTCTTTTTCCTATTCTCAAGTTCCTGCCAAGTTTCTACATAAAAAATTCATTGTATTGAAAAAACAACCGACATTACAATGAGTTCCGACTAAAAGAGGGATTAGCTGGACTAAGGTTCAGTATATGTCATAATATAATAAAAATAACAAAAATTAATTAATTAAATATCCAAAATTATAAAATAAGCATAAATAAAACAAAACAGACGAAATAAAATAGCTCCTATTTAATATAATAAACATAATTATATGGAACCCAATTGGAGCACACAGGGAATTATCATGACTTTGGTCCAAATATAAGTAACGCAGATACCCCATATACACGATTTTCCGAGAATTGCAGACCGGCTTACACTTTAACGCAAGAGAGCGAAAATCTAACCACCTACCACGACGGAACACAAAACTTGCGGTCAGTGACAACTCGACGTGGGTACCCACCATACTTCTTCATGCTATATCCTTTTTTCATGCTAGAATAACTAATAAATATATCACCTCTACGTAGGACGTAAATTACGTATTTAATTTCACACCAACCATCATTACAAAGGTTATACCGTAACTAAGCGACAACTCTCCTTCTGAGTGAAAAAGCCAACGAGAGTAGGAGTAACAGAGTGAACGAACGTGAAGAGTCGTAGAGATGGGACGAAGAGGAGAGAGTAAAGTCGACGAGGAGTGCGCTCGGACACCTTGTACTACGGTCATTGTTCTCTTGTTTCAATTTGGATTTTGTTTCTCGAGTAGTGTGTTGGCGTGGAGAGTGTCGTAACGAATTATTTTGTAAAATCAACACCTGACGACGGTTTGTACCTATGTCGACTTTTTTTCGAGTAAACGTTTCTAGAAGGGTAAAAAAAGACGTTAAATAAAACTAATCAGATCAACGGTGTAGTATTCTCCAGGATAACCTTGGAATAAACCCTCAATGGTGTTGCAAAAGACAATCTTCTTACATTGGAATCAAGCTGCCCCGGGGTCGTGTGGTTTTAACCGCTACAATTTGAATCATGTCTGCGGGTCAATTTTTTACCCGTCTTAAACCTGTTAAAGACTTCACCAAAAACGCCCAATGACTCGCTCAGGTAAAACGACTGTAATGAAGTCCTAGTTTTTCTACCGTCAAAAATTGGTCTTTCTACGGTTTAGAAACAAGAGACACCCGACTAAACTAAGTAAAACCCCCCAAATCTTCTAAATCCCTGAGACTAGTAAACCTATCCTGTCTAGACGTATAAAAACTTCTATTTTAACGAGACTCAATCCTATTATTTGGTCGGACAGTGTCCCTCTCATGTGTATACGGTGAAAGACCAATTTTGGCGATAAAAACTAGGACTTGTTTACAGTCTTTAAAGGTCCAAGGTGTAACGACCCGTTGGGTGGGGTGATTAGTATAGTTGACGTCACTTATTTTTGTGCGTAACTTTTTCCAAATTACAGTATAGTAAAAGGTTAAATATTTTATATAAACTTTTGGAGTCTTTTTACCTTTGTTTCCTAATACATTGGTAACACCCACTTTATATACTAGACTGGGGAGTTTCCCCGTTTTTATGAACACTAGGTGGTTATATAACTAGATTTTGTGTGACCCCTAGGTGGAAATTGAGGTTCGAGTTATTTGTGTCTGGCGAGGAGGAGAGCAGACAGGAAACCTAAGTTCGGCGAGTCACAAGAGGTCCAGAGAACATCCCTCGAGAGGTTCTCGACCTTGTCAATTTCTATATGCCATAAGTTTGTTACCTGTCGAGAGGTTCCACCGACTCCCATCAGTCCCTGCCCCTCAGGTGCGTCGTCCGGGGGGTCCTACGTGGAAGTGATAGAAGGTTGTTGGGTCTCGTAGGCCTGTAGCATAGGAATTCATCCTTGTCCATGTCCTTTGTGATATATTTTGGGTTTTTTAGACTTACCTCTACGACCGTCCGGTGAGTGGGGAGACCGTTCCAGAAAAAAATATAAAAATGTAACGGCCCCCCAAGTACTACCCCCTCTAGGTCCCCCTGTCCTTTCTCTCGCTTGGAAACAAGGACTTTATTCAAGACTCAGAGATTGTGTTCTCCCCCTGTACACCCATCCATATTTTTTTGTACTTGTTCCCCACCTAAAAACTATTTTATCCGCTGGAATTTTCAAGTGTCCCGAGGAGCCTTGTTAACGTTGTATTTTGGTTTTGTTTCTATCTTACAATAATATATGTTAAGCATGTCACTTCCATTTTTTTATGACAAATAACATTATTATCTAGTATATAAAGTCTACGTGTGTCTAACATACCATATTCACCCACGTCTCAGATTGACAGGACACCCGCTCTTGACAGGGACCCAGACCGACTTACACCCCCACCTCGCTCACTCGAAGCTATCGGTGAAATCTCCCTAAACGCCGAAACAAACAAAAGGAAAAATTTCTACATCTAATTTAGGTTATACCTTTTCACAAATGAGACGGACGTAGATTGCATCGTCATGTGACCCGAAGGAATGCCACAGGGAGTACAGAAATTGCTCAGACCTCAGGACTTGGGAAGGAAAAACCTCGCACCGCCGAGAGAGGACCAGCACCGCTAGGAAACATGTAGAAATATGTGTGTCCAAAAGGAATGGTACTGAAATATTGCCACAAACTACTTTTTTATTTGCACTAAAAAGTGACACAGGGAAGAAGCACCTGCTGCAAGTGTTGTGGTGTAGATCGCCTTGTTGGACAGTGCGCATTTCATGACATGGACATGACAGCAAATACCACAGACTAAGGTAAACACTGACAGCAGACTGCCCACAGCGCTCCCTACAGGCCCAACGCTGCAATCGCAGAAACAAAGGATTCAATTGTGATGGGAAAAACACATGTCACCAAAATAAATAAGTTAGATAAAGCAGTCTATATAAAATATAAAATTAACTTGCAAAAGTTATTTACAAGAATATGTGTTACATTAACACATAGGGGCTAATACTACTATAACTGCACAAGTCCTCTATTTATAATTCAATTCATGTTTTTCTCTCAAGTCATTTTCCATTTTTTGTATATGTATGTTCCTTGTACACATTTTTAATTGTTTAATATATTTTCATCATTCATTTACATTTTTTTATGTATTCACCAATACGCTAAAGGAAATTCATTTTATGTGAAAACTTAGTCTATGTTGAAAATTAGTTTAGTACAACCCAATATGGAAAAGTATTGTAATTATTGAGAAATAGAAAAAAAGGGTTCTATTTTTTTATCCTATTCTGTTGAAAAAAAAATAGTCTATTAAAGTGGAAACCAAGAAAACATTTATTTAATTTACAGACATTACATATCATGAGCAGACAGATATGATCAAAACAACATGTAAAAGGTGAATGTACAGCATTCAAAAAAGGAAGAATATAACGCAAAAAAGGCAGGAAATCACTTCGATGTTTCTTAGTTTTACATGTCTGATGATTCTCTCTGGCTGAATGCTTTTCCTGTGTTTAGTTAAAGAAAATCTGATTCCAGGTTGTTGGATATTTCTTTGCAGTTTATTTCCTCAGATGTTTATCTTTCATTGCAGCATTGTTTGTTTGATAACTTTCCCCTGTTTGTCGATGGCAAAGTTGTAATTCTTTGGATTGTCCAGAGCTCCTTCTATACGCTGATCCAAGTTTTCCAAGGTGATGAAGTTCTTTGCATCCTCCTGTAAGAAATTGTAATTGAAAAAAGTCAGATTCGTAAGGTCATAGTTTGGGAATACTGATGTTTCTCGTGTTGCTGCTTGTTGGGTAGGCACATGTTCACAGTGGAATCCCAATTATCCTGCTGAACAAAACCTCTAAGTATCAGAAACCTTTGAAGGCCACAGACCTTATTTTCTGCAATCATTTTAAAAAAGCCAATGGAGAAATCCCATTGGCTTTTTGTTGGGGGAACCACTGAAATACTATCATCCAAACGACCTACAACAATTAGTCATCCCTGTAACTCTATAAAGTCAAATCCCCATGAAATGCTCACGATGAACACTTTAAAAAAGGACATTCACAGCTAAATAAAATACTAAATAACATTTAAACAGAGAGAAAAGGGACTGACCTGCAACTTCAATATTTCTTTCTCTTTTTCTTTGACAATTTCTTGCTGCTCTTGTTCGCGCTGAAGGATAACTTCGAACTTCTTGCGATCAGCTTCCTCTTTTTCCATCTGGACCCTCACAATTCTGGAAAAATACCAAGGAGACAGTGAGCTCAAACTTGAAGAAAATGAAATCACATACATGGAAACAAGACCCCAAACCACAAGTGGCTTGCATCTTTATAATAGTTTTATATTTTTCATCTTTTAAATGTCTTCTCACCTGAGTTTGAGCATGCGTTGGTTCTCCAGGTGGTTGAAGTCCATGAGGACGCGATGCTCCTGCGCCTCCTGCCTCGCCCTTTCCTCTGCCAGAGAGCCTGTGTCCTCCTCGTACTTTTTCCGAAGCATCTCCTCCTTAAACTCCAGACTGACACACAGAACATAATGGCATAACAGTAATTAGGTTAGTTAAAGCTAAAACATATTTAGATAATATACTTTTTTTTCTGTGTTTTACTTCTATTCTTGTTTAAGTTTATATACATCTTATACCAGCTTTTGCTATTTAGTTATACAATGTTTTGGATTGTAAACATGAGATTATAAACCTATTTATTTGTGCAAATTTAAAATTAAGTGTTATTATTCTTAAAAGGTATAATACCAGCTTTGACAGAGCAATATTTTGATCAAGTCAAGGAAACATTTTGGCAAATAAATACTTGAACGTTTTGCCACCTGCAAGCAAATGTGGCACATTAAAAGAAGTGGGTTGAAACAAATGTTATATTTGTAGCTCTTTATACGTTTAGGGAACACTTTCCGGCCTAACAGGGACACAGCTTTGTTTTAACGCTTTGTAAAAAATGCTTTGGCAATACAACATCTTTGATATGGTCATGCCAATGAAGCTCCTTTGAATTTCAGTTTGATTTAACGTCTGGTCAACGGCTGTTTATTACCGTTATAGTGATTTGAAATCCAGGTTAGTCAGTTAAATAACGCTACAAACGTACCGGAGCGCCCTCATGATCATCTGGTACTCCCCATATCTCTCCTTCAGGACCACCATCTCCACTGGATCCACCGGGGGAGGCATTTTGATTCGCCCCACTTTGGACTTAGCCACCGGGTCGGTGCGGGACTTTCTGCCCCGGACAGCCTCCACGAGCACGGCGCTCCTCGGTGCAAGGACCCGGGCCGCCTGGACGCTTCTCCCACCGATAACCTGGAACATGTCGGAGTGGAAAGTGTGGCTTCAGGTGCGGTTTGTTAGAGGAAAGGTGTAACGGTTAGTTAAAGGAAAGTTAACATTGAGATTGAAATGTTATCGACAGAAGGAGGCGGCCATGTTGGTGTCCTCTGACCGGAGGAAGTCATTAGCAACGCGGCTAGGGCTAACTGAGGAAAGACCGACGTAGTTTAGCCTCTACCGCCATCTATAGGCAGGAGAAAATGCTTTTAAAATAAATAATAGTGTGCCTTTTCAAACTAGTTTTAGTAATTACTAACTCTCTACTACGCCGCTGTTTAAACGTAATGCCTAATTACTAACTAAGCTGTCTATAGTGACAGCTAACTAGCTACGAGACTATGTAGCTAGTTAGCTAAATAGCTAGGTTAGCTTAACAGTTTTTTTTAGCAGCCAGGTACTTTCAAACATTGAAAGGATAGAGGTCAAATTCACAAAATAGCCACTGCGTGATTTTAAGAAATTAAACTCTTAAGTCCCAGACTGATTCAATAGTGCAGCATAGAATATACTTAAGACATACAAATACATTTAAAAAAGTGCAAGTGAGACCATGCAAGTAAATACATGTGCATAATGTATTAAAATATCTATTAAAAAATATTATAATAATACATGTTATTTGTATAGCACCTTTCATACACGAAATGTATAGCCTAAGCTAAGTGCTTAACTAATAGTACAATAAATACCTCTGAAGTCTATTTAAATACAAGTATAAAGAAGCATAACATGGAAAAAGTAGCTGAACATTGTATTTAAATACAGTTATTGAGTAAATATAAAATAAGTATCTAAAAAGAATATTACTTTTGAGTTAGAGAATACTTATGGTAAGAATAACATATTTTGTAGTTGAAGATTCACAACAGCAGAGACCAACTGGCTCTTAAAATTAGACGTACACATATTGTTTTGTGTGCTGCTGAGCTTTAGTTTTACACTCACTATATATAGTAAATATAAATGTGAATTTTCTTTGTGTGGTTCTTCATGGTTCAGTGAGATGCTGGGTGTCAGCCTGGTGACTGATGATCCTGCCAAGGCGAGGCCAACACATCACAGCTTGTGTCAGCGTGCCAGGAGCAGGGAATGATGGGAAATGGTGCAGTGCTGCTGTGTACCGTACATTGTGACATTGAGAGCTGTAAGTAAGGTGAAGTTTAAGAAGGTTGAAGTTACCTCTTCTTCTATTGTCATACAGTATTTCAGAAGGAAAACCATGAAACTCAGATACCTAACCAATCAAGAATATACCTTGATTGAATATACAATGTTATGTTTTTTTATTGTTCTGAAACTTAAAAACAAACATTTTGTTGTACAAGAAAGAGACATATCATCCTTTTAAAGTATCAATAAAAACAAGAGATGTGAACAGGTTTGCAGGTCAGTTATATGTTTATTCAGCTTGTTGCCAGCTGTTACAGTACATAGAGCTTAATGGTGGGTACTTGGTTTTAGTTTCACAGATGTAAAGCACCATTTAGATATAACACTGTCAGACGAACAACAAGGAGCTCCTGCACTTATCTTTCTGTTTCATTGTTTAGCTTTGAATGAACTCACAGAACAGAAAATCTAATGCAGATAAGCTGTGAGACACACTGCATGAATATAAGAAGAAACTACTAACAATTAGTCTTCCACAGCATTTACATGTCCAGAACCTATGCAAAAAATTACAGTTTTAATTTAAATTAGAAATGTAAACAACTGGCCAAATCGAAAAACCCAAACATATTCTGGTTTAAAACCAACCAAACGAGTAGTATCATTGTAAATGCAGAGGACGACTAACTTAAAAGGACAACACTTTGTCTTTAATATAGTGAAAATAAATGTATTTAAGGTTACAGGTTCACTGACTATAGAGAACCAGGTTTGCAGGACAAGGCATGATGGATTGGTAGAGTTCCCCGTTAATAACGCTGCATGTTTCTTGCATCATTTCAAACGCAGATAAAGTCCAAGCATCCAGAGATAAAAGGGACATCCTTCACAAACAATTGGTCAAATGTTTGCACAACAGAAGAGTCGAATAGTAACTCTGCTGTTTGGACCTTAACACGTAAGACAGAAAGAGGAACTCAGCCAAAACATTACTGCTGCCCGACTTAGCTTTATGTTGCTTATGCAGTGCAGCCACTCTGCATTTTTACAATCTGCCATCTTCGTGATGTGCGATGTCAGAACGTGTGTAGAAGAAGGGGGACTTCTGGTGGACCTCTTGTTTAGCACAAGGGCGCATCTTTCTTGAGAACGATGAGCTTTGGTTTGCGATTTTTTTTGTTTTTGGGAAGAGTAAAAAGGATGGAAGGGCTATTTTGGG